TGAAACTTTCAATATCCCAACTGCACATACCGGATAATAATTCACGTAAGGGAATCCCTCTGGTAATTTCACTGGCAATTGAATTTTATTTACGGCATGCATTTAAATCCACTTTCGCAAATATCCAAAATGCAATTAATGTCCTTTCCTCTAATTTGTTTGTTACTGCCTGCAACCTGTGGTCATCGTTATCACTCACCAATTCCTCAAGAACTAATAAACCCACTGTTTAATGAAAAATTAAGAAATCTCTCTGCGCAATCTAATTATTTGTTAAGAGAGTGAAATGTATGAAATTATTATCTACAAAAACCGCTATTATCTGGTCTCGTAAAATGCTCTAGATTGTCAAATGAATAGTGTCTTTTACCGAGTAACTCATGTAATACTGTAAAAAGGAGGTACATAGTGCGTGCATAATAGAAATTATCCAAACATTTACTGTGAATTTATCGGTTATTACTTAGTACTTTCATTCCCGGAAACTGTACCGTGCAAACATCCGCCCAAATCGCTATGAAATCAGGAAATTTATTGCTTTAATTGTTCATTTCACTCAAGCAATCCTCACTAACGGAGACAGCCCTAAAAAATTCACCTCAAATTAGGCGTAACTGAAAATTATTCCAATTATTCACATGTACATGAACTGTCGATAGACTATTGCGTAAAATTCTAATGAATTAGGAAGTCCACGGAGTTGTTCCACTGCATATTCGCGGATTAGAAAGCTGAACGCAGATGCTCTGGGGCTATCGTAATCTTTCATCTCGCAAATAAAGATTTAATTATTTTATGACCCCTAAAATGTCATGATCGTGCAATAATTTATCTGCGTATCCTCAACTTATAAAAAATTCATAAAACTAGAAAATCGTCGGAAAATTATTGCACGTCAATGAAAAATTCAATCGATTCCGTTTTATCATTGAATAATTCTCAGACGCATAAAGAGTATAGAATTAACCGGGTCATTCATTGAATTGAAAAATTGTCATTTTTTTCGTTTTCGAGAAAAAATTTACGATTCCGACTGAAATACAGGTTTCAGCATGAATAGCTGTTTTTTAAAGTTTTCACTAATATTTGAATTGACAGTAATTGTAGGGGTACTTTAACCACTTATTTTTACACAGCTGCCGAGTCCGGATAGGAGAATAAAATGTTTCGTAAGAAATGGCGCGGGATCGTTTAGGATCGGATTATTCAGAGAGTATGAGCGACGCGACAACTTGCACCTGTACAACAACATCTCTTGACAAGGTACGCCATTTTTTTAATTATTTAAATAATCAGAACAGCCACAGGACACAAGAGGAAAACCGATCAAGGAGTTATCGACCACTCCTTATCATTCCTATCGGCACATCAGCAATTTCATTCACCGGATATACTATTTATATAATAGAATAGTTTGAAGCTTCGAGTAGGATTAATTGTTTGAAGTTAATACAGCGATTAAATATAAATGAAAGCAACAAGTAGGTAAGCCAGGAACAAGGAGTTGGAAAGATTGTGGAAATTTGAAGACTCTTTCTTCCGTCAGAGATCGGTGTATCACGGTGCGATTCTCATCAAATTTTCGCCTGCATACATATATGGAGCACTGAACAACGAAATACAGATGAATTTTAACGAGTGTTTTTCATCCTTAAGGGGCACGATAAGCAAATTCAATGAAGAATTTCTATTCTCCGGATTTTAATGAATTATACAATTTTTACTGGTTATCTAGTGAAAACCATTGGGTTTTCACTTGTAATTTGTTATTTTCTCCAATTAACATGAATTTTCAATCAATGCAAAATTTTTCATTAATTCAGGAGCAAAGTCTAATCTGAGATGATCCGATTAAATATTTTTCGGCAACTTTTGTTAACAATTTATCTGCGCGTTTGAAATAAAATATAGTCTAAATATTGAAATTACAATAGAGCAAAATCTTGTTGATTAATTATAGATAATTTTTTTAATTTTCCAGTGTTCATTACGGAGCTGCACAATGTTCCACGAGCCCTTTTTCCTCCACCCCCCGACCACCCGTCCCCGAGACGGTATCTACATAAATCCCTTTATATCGGAATCTCCAAAGCCTAAGGATCCAGAATCCTTCTACCTCCACAGCCCTCACGATCTCGTCTACACGAGGATAACACGTCTCTTCTGCGATAACCTGGACAAGTCTCGAAATATGGAGCGAAATGGTATCGAGAGGAAGGACGAGACTCTGACCGGTAAGTGTGACATGTCCCAGATATCGACTCGTGTCTTTGGGTCATCAGTGGAGCAGCTGACGCATCATTACTCACATATTATTTTTTTTTTCCCTCCGTTTGTTCGATCAATATTCATGCTCCAGCGAATCACGGATGTAAGTTGTTGTGCACATCCTGTGCAAAATATGAGATTACCCATCATGAAAATTGTCGTATGATTCGCTCAGTTTCACTTGACCACAATAATTAATGAGAAAACCCATGAATCCATGATAAAATCACTAGTCAGGTGTTCAAACAAAATGCATCTATTCCCAATCGATTGCTCTACCGCTAATTACGCTAAAATCGATTTAAACAACTTAACAAAAACTCATTCAATTAAAATCATTCGATTTCCATTAATTTTCATGCAATTCGTCATTGAAATTTTCCAGTCTCTGAAATCCCGATGAGAAAATAATCTGAAAATTCCGTGAAAATTTAATTTGTTTGCCACTTGAATTTCACAACGTGAATAATTGAATAGAAATATTGAAAGCGTCTGCCAACAGTAAAAGATTTCACCAGAAAAAGTAATCACTACATGGAACTAAAAAATCTAAACAAACACGAAGTGAACACTACGAGGTGTCACTGAAACCGATGATCCCATTTTGTTCCATTGTTTGTCAACGGCTTAACAACTTGTCAGTATATCTAATCACAAAAGATTGCAAGATTTACCCCACCATATGACAATGCATCTCGACCCCGATTACGTCCCTATCGTCAGTCTTCCTCAACCCATTGTCATACCTAAACCAAAAATAACGATTGAGATCACATCCATTAATTTCAATTAAGTGGGTCGATGGATCAGGACAATTATGGTGAATCCATTATTCAATTGAACATAAAAGCCCATGCTCTATTAAAACTCGACGATAACTGGACTGAGGTTATCAGCCTACACGGAGATCATCCCCATCAGCTCATAAACCCCGTTACGTTGATATTAAATCCAAGAATTATGGGTGCTCTCACGTGTCGTGAAAAAGAAAATGCCACGGCATTAACACTGACCATAGAATAAATCGAAGGATTTACACCACCCGGAAATGGCGATCACTTTTTACACGATTTTATCTGATTTTATTGAGGCGGATGTTATCGCTTTATCGCTCCTCATCGGAACAAATTCAATCTTGACTAAACAACGGGTAATAATTCTGCAATTATTATTTTTTTTTTCAGTGAAAGTGGACGTACACATCAATAATGGAAGTTACAAGACCCTGAGCAACGGTAACTCGATAAAGTCGGACATAATCAAGGACACGGATCATGCTTATGAGCAGATCTGCATCAGGCCGGAAGAGACGGAGAGTGTTAAGTCGATTGGAAATAAAAAAATTCATGACGACACGGCTGCAACCGGGTAATTAAAAAAAATATCATAACTCTTTTCAATTAGCAAAACCCCCGTTTTGTTCATCTCCAATCAACAATTATTTCCCCTTCTCGCCTGGAAACACCGAAGAAAAAAAAAATTGAATAATTATGGATGGAATATCGAAGAAGTCAATTAATTCCCCCAATTCACTATTTCAAAGCCGTTCGAGAACGAGTGGACGGAGATTCAGTCGATCAAGCAGCGGTAGTGAATCTTCCCAATTGAGCAGCGAACTTCACTATTCATCCACAACTTCCACCCCATCATTGTCCCGCAACAGCAGTAACGAACGTCTCGTAAAAATTCCAAAACCCCCAGAATTGCCAGGTACGAAAAAAAATCCCTGTATCAATCAGCCAATCAATTGACCTACTGTGACAAAATCAAAGTCTCCCACAATTTCCTCTCAAAATCACGAATTCCTCTAACCTGATAATCAACAGGACTGAGAAGCTTATCTAACTTCACAACTGAGCCCTTGAATTAATTAAAAAAATTAAGAAATGAGTGTCTTGATCGATTTCATGTTCACAGAGAGAAACAGCTCAACGCCAGAATGTGAAAAGAGTACGAAGCCATTGATAAATGGTCCTAGGTAAGTAGGTCGATATCGATCGAGCATAATAACGATGAGAAGAGAAAAAAAAGATATGGATCGAAAGCCTGTTATCAACTTAATCATTGTAACCACCTTGTTTCATCTCAGCCTCGTGAATCCACCACCACCACCTCCTCCACCACCTCCCCCAGACAGCGAGGACAATCCAAAAACCCTCGACATGAACGATAAAAAAGACACCAAGGATACCAAGTACGACAGTGAAAGCACCAGCTCAGGTAAACCAAAGAAATAGAAATAAATATAATCCTTCCCTTCCTAATTCACCCGGAACTACCAATTACCCCATTACCAATTTCGTCAGTAAATCCTATTTAAAAGAAAAAAAAAACAACGAGGGGTGAAAGGCAGTTTCCTCGACATTTAAACGAACCATGAAAAAAAAAAAACCTCCAAGAACCAGTTTGTCAATGATTCGACGATTTTTACGTATTAAATCAGGTTGCGAAAATTTCAAATCTGATAACAGCGTAAATCAATTGGTGGTAACTGTCCTAATTGGGCGCAACGACCGTGCCAGTTTGGCAAAACAATTTACTAATTTAAAAATCATCCTTTTAATTGGCCCGTTAGCGCGATTATGGATGCGTCCATTACTAGACCATATCACTCCACCATCCATATAATACACTTACCTAGATTTCACTTGTGCTTCAATCATCAAAACGTGCACACACATCCCTCTCCCCCTTTAAACTTTATACTGTAATTGACCAGCTCACCATCTCGGACAATCAGTCTAACACCTCTGTGCACCTACTGAGTCCCCCTCCACGATATTAACGTTTTGAATCTTCATTTTGTGTTGCGGAACAGCGGCCAAGTCCGAGATATCCTCCGAACAGGCGCATCAGTGTCTACCACAGGCGGAAGTTGCGGCTGGTGCTAGTGCATCGAGTACTGATACTGAGGATCCAAAGCAGTGCCAGGTGACACACCTGCTTCACAAGCACATGGTGTTGCCATTTATACCACCAAAATTCAACAATGCTGCCGATTCGAACACCCTCCTCAAGCCATCCGAGTATTTGAAGAGTATTTGCAAAGGATCGGGCAAAAATACATTGTCAAAAGCACGGTGAGTGCCTCTGAGATGTGAAATTTCATTGGTCAAGTGGTGTAGCAACAGCGCAAATGATTTTCCAAAAGAACAATCAAAAGACTCGCATTGGAATTTAATGCAGAAGTTTCTCCCCAATAATTTAGCCAAATATTCTCGATCTAGGATTGAATCGCTTGATAGATGAGTACATCTGGATCATTTAGTTCTCCAGGTGATAATTGAAGAGTTGTTCTGTTCAGATCTGTGGATAATTTGGACCTTCAAACCCGAACGGAAGAGGAAGAGGTGGTGCAGTGTCCTGAGACAAAATCAACGCCCCCAGGTCCACCTCCACCCCCTCTACCACCTCTTCTAATAACAAAGGACACCTCGACAACGACATCATCATCCCCTCCACAGACCGGCAATAACGAATCACCAGAAACACCGAGAACACCCCAGCCATTGGCAACAATCAGCATCCACGATTTAACGAGTGTTCAATTGCGTCGTACCAACATTAAGATGCACGCTACGAAGACATTCTCAGCCCCACCACCTCGCAGTGTCTCCATGACCAATGGTAATAATGGGTTCGACGACCCTCATTTCCTACGACTCTCTAATTACGAATTAATGGCTCACTGATGTATTCTCCTGCTTCTCTCTCATTAAATTTATTCATCTCCAGTATTTTTTTTTTGACGATTTATTACAGTGTCAGAGCCGTTCTTCGTCCAGAAAACTGATCTTATTGCTGAGCTAAAGCTAGCTAAAGACATACCTGGAATAAAGAAATTCAAAGTTGAAATGGCAAAAGTGGAGAAGACACAGGAGCAAAATCTCATATCCGAAATAAGCAAGAGTTTCAGTGTCTCAAATTTTGTGGATCAAGTGAGTACAAGCCACCACTTCACCTGTCCTCGAACAAAATATCAATAAGATTTCAATACATCCACAGATACCAGAGAGAGACGCCGCTGGAAATATAATTCCCATCTGGAAACGCCAAATGCTAGCTAGAAAAGCAGCGGAACGCGCAAAAAAAGAGTTAGAGGAGCAAATAGCCCGGGAAAACGAGGAGAAACGACAAAAAGCCATTCCCCCATGGAAGAGGCAATTGCTTGCAAAAAAAGAGCACTTCGATGAAAAAGAGAAAAAGTGAGTTCCACCACGTGAAATAAATAGCATCCTTTATTTCCTCGTTTAATAAATCTTTGAAAAATAATTCCAGAACAACTGCACCAGTGCCTCCTACTCCAATGGCCCCAGCACCCCCACCAGTTAAAATCGACTTAGTACCTGTTCAAAAAAGGGATGCCCCAGCACCGACAAGGCCGAAGGAAGTGAAAGTGGAGGAGGAAAATAAACCAGTACCTACCAGGGACAATGATTCCGACGACGATGCCCCAATTATTCCCTGGCGTGCACAACTTCGAAAAACAAACAGCAAATTGAATATTCTCGACTGATTAATTAACCGACAAGACAATCCCAAACACCACGAGGGGAAAAAAGAGGAAAAGAAAAAAATGAATAAAACCAGAGCTACCGTTGAATATCGCAAGGCTTCCCCAGAGTATATTTCACGATTGTTTGATCACTCGATTGAGCATTCAGTATACAATGTAATCTATTCTACCAAGTATGTGGACATAATCGACAATCGATACTATTAAGATCCATCACAAGTGTAAATAAAAATGTCAGTTTACAATGAGGTGAATGTGTCCTCGGTTGAATTATCATGAAGACAAATTTCACCAATTATCCCTTCTAGTGAAGGGGAAGTAATTGATGCATTGATGAGGGATTACCAGAAGAAAAGCTATAGAAATTCAACCGATTGTCCAGATACTGTAGCACTTATCCTCCCCTATTCACCAACGAAAAATTCAATTTTACCTCCTACCCCACCATTTAACAATGTGCCGTTTCATCTAACGCGTGTACAAACGGTCTTCCTCAACGCGCTATATACTGGCTTGTAAAGTTTCTTCGTATATATATACCTTCTTGCCTCTTCAGGGCAGGGGCTCAGTCAGTATCACGACGCCGGTCAGTGTGTTGTGCTGTTTGCCTCCGAGCCACTGGTTTTATTTTATTATTATTATTGCTATTATTGTTATTATTATTTTTCACTTTTGCTTACGTAAAAAGAGGGCAAAAGTTGGCATTAAGTTATTCCGAGGTGGCAGAGGACCAAGAGGAAGTAAACGGGTGAATCTGACGTTTCGATTTTAGAAGTCATTAGAAAAAGAGAAAACACTACTGTCGGCCGGTGTATATTTTATAGCAATTTTTTTTTCCTCATTTTTATTACACCTTTTTTTTTAATTATCAACGTAATTATTTTTACCGTTAATTTGTTTAATTTATTGTGGTTGATATGGCGTCATCTAAGAATCTTTTGGGTAAGTATGAAGTAACATTCTATCCCATGTTTATTTAGTTTTATTCTGCATTTAGCGATTCAAGGATTTGAGACTCTATTCGTTATCGTCAGTACATGCTAATGCAGTGATGAGAAATATAATTTTCATAATGAAAATTGTTAAGGTAATATGAGGGGCGTTAATTTGAGAGATGATTATTTCTGTGGAGCGAGGACAGGCTCGATAAGACCCGAATTTTTCACTTTGCGATGGTAATTTATTAGTTGATTGGATAATTTGTGTACGGATGGGCCCGGTACAATGGTAGAAACACGTGTTAAGGACATTTGAGACGAAAGTACAGGAGATATTGGGGTCAGTGGGTATTTCCTGAAGACAACTGATTCAGTTGGTGCAATATACTGAATGACGAGTGAAAAGGAAAATTGTATTCTTCTCTCCTGCAACTCGCGCCAAAGATATCACATGCATATGAATTACAATTCATGCCACAGAGTATCTATAGTAGGATCGGTAATCTTTGAGTCTATTGTTAATGTATACTAACTCTGCCGGGAATGATAGACCGATTCAATAATCTAAATGAATAAAGTGCGTGTCTGGGAAAGATTTTCTCAAATCGATTGAGGATATTAGAGTGCTTTAGCGAATTTATTTTTGTAGCTTTATCTCGTAGAAGAACATGAACAGAATCAGTCACAAAGCCATAAATAAAGACGAGCCTAACTTGAAATTTCCATCTTAATTGCCGATTTATCTCGGAAACTAGTGATTTAATTGAGAGACAGTGAAGGACTTTTTCGTAGCGAATAAAATTAGCGAAAAAATAGATCTTTTGGCATTTTCTCCTAAAATCAATATTCTCGTAGATTAACCGATATTTGACCGAAGAATAAAATTGGAGTGATTGTGCATTACATCTTCGCTGCTGAATCACATCCTTTCCAAAATGAAAATATTACCGACGCTAAAATTTCTAAGGACATTTCAGAATTTGTTATTTTCCAGATAATTGTATTTTCCAAGTTCAAACTATTGTTTCGCAGAGTAACCGATAGCGAGAGAAAATTGTCCCATTATTGGCTACGTAGCCAAGCCCAAATTGTAAACACATCCAACCGAATGACGCAAATCTTGACGAATTGCTCAGGCTTCCGATTGCGCAGATCGAGATTGAATTTCCCCTTCGATTACAAATATCCTGACGAAAGATGAATTAAACTGATAACAAGAAACAAATAACACCACCAGTTCGGGATAAACAATGTAGCAAACATTTGGTAATTCCCGGGGGGAGACACAGCGGAAAATTAGTTATTGTTGCACAACAGAGTGACTGGCGGCATTTTTCTTTGAAGATATTCCCCTTTAGAATGATAATTAACTGCACCAGAAACCGTTCAAGTGTTTACGCTCGGTTTTTTATTCATTATTTTTTAGAAGAATATGGAAATCCCTCATTTTACACGGACAAATATTTCTAGTAAAATTTACCTTGACGTTTAATAATCCCATATATTGCTTTGAAAATATTTTTCCCGCGATTACTTTGAAAATTCCAATGAGTCCTGAGATAATTCCAAAAAAATATTCTCATATTCCCCCATAAATGGTAATTTCCATTAAAAGAATTACTAGACGCCAGGATAAATTGATCTAAAAAAAATTCCTCTGGGATAAATTGAACACGTAAAGAAGCAATTAGTGCAGCATATCCTAGACATTGATTACCAAATGCAATTACCACACCGATAATGATAGAGGGCTAAAAATGATATGCCTGTTGAATTGTCCACCCACACGGAGAGACCTGATTGCCTGAACTAAATGGCGATGAAACACAAAGTGATACTTCCCGTTTGTATTTCCGTTTAGTCCCCACCGACGATTATCTGTCCCTTTGTTTTTTCACCTCAACATCGAATTCAAATATCACAAATGAACCTGGCCTCGGCCTTAACTGCACAAGGTTGCGAACACTATAAATAAATGTAGACAGAGTGGAGGTTTATTTAGCCATGTATTCGTGACGTTAATAGCACTGTGAAAATGAATAGTTTTTCTCTTCCTGAAGAGTATGAAGTGAATGGGAGAACAATTAGCGTTCGCTGTTGATTGTCATCAATCATGATGGATCTATGTTGAGGACTAGATCGCCAGGATGGATAGTGAATTAATATTGGCCCGAATTCAGGTCGAATTCAGAAGTACCTGAAGAAATTCTGGCTTTGGATCAATTTAAATCGTCATTTAATGCTTTTCAGATCGTCTATCATGCCGTCAAGTATTGAATATCATGGTGATACTAGGATTTATGCTCAATTACATGCTCAGAGTTAATTTAACAATAGCTATTGTTGCTATGGTCTTTCCAAATAACTCAACACATTCCAATGTAACGCATGGTAATCACGAATGCTCCGGCGGTACTGCACCCCTGAATTTCAGCAATTGGACAAACCTCCATGATTATGGAGGAGGAGCCAATCGCTCAGAAAAATATCGTCATAATAATGTGGAGGTAAGAATTAATTATGATAATTCAGATGCAATTGTTTTCGAAATATGTCCTTGGTGATAAGTTTGCTATTAACTAGTTACTATTGAGGGGGAAATTATTATGATTCATAAGGTGATTGGTATCAATTTCCTTCGGTGTATCCTACGAATCTTCAAGAGCTTTGGAATTAATCACCAGATGTTCGATATTTCGATGAAGAATGCGAGACCTTTGACTTCGAGAAAAAATCTGATTTAGGTTGAACGTTCTATCGGTTATTATCCGATTTTACGATTTTTTTCATTCACTTTTTCAATGGAAAAAAAATGTGAAGAACTGAGTGAGAGGAATTCCAGAAAATATCTCGATGGATTAAACTGCGAAGGGCAATCAAATTCTCTTGATTGTTTCTATAATATTTTTTCGACAAGAATATTATAAATAAATAGGAAAATTATGAAAATTGTTTCCAGGATCACGAGAGGGCCCAGACAAAATACAACTGGGATGAATACGACGTGAATTTCATTCTGGGTGCATTTTTCTGGGGTTACATATGCACGGAGCTTCCAGGGGGTAGACTAGCCGAAGTGATAGGAGCCAAAAGAGTATTCGGATACAGCATGTTAATTTCAAGTATAGTAACAGTATTTACTCCAGTGGCAGCAGCTTTTGGTCCTGGGGTAGTGGCAGCACTTCGGGTAGTTTTGGGATTCATGCTGGCAAGTTGATAAAGAAAATAATCCCTCGATTATTATTCGATTCGACAACCCTAATCAATAATTCATTGAAATTCAAGGGTGCAAGTTGGCCTGCCATACAACCAATGACATCTCACTGGATCCCACCCCTGGAACGCAGCAAATTCGTCTCGAATATGATGGGTCAGTTAATGATTGGGAAAAATTGAGATCTACCGACATTATTCGTCCCATGATACTCAATTCAATTGTTCTCTCTTTTTCGAGTGGATGATTAATCGAATGAACTGTTTTATTCTACCAGCATCATCCTTGGGAGCTGCCATAACAATGCCTATCTGTGGATTTATCATAGCCTCCGTCGGATGGGAATCCGTCTTCTACGTCACCGGAGGCATTGGATTGGTATGGAGCATTGCCTGGTTCATGCTTATTTTCGATACACCTGCACAACACCCCAGGATCACCGACGAGGAGAGGAAATTTATCGAGGAATCCATTGGCACCACTTCTTCGAAAAAAGTCAGTACCCAAACGAAAAATTTTTTCATTCCTTCAAAAAATTACAAAAGGAGAATTTCTGCATTGAAGAAACAAATCAAAGGAGAATCACTTCCAACGCTAGCAAACGTACACAAAATATACTGAACAAATGCGGATATCAAATAATTTTCAGGTGCTGGCTGTGCCATGGAAATCAATCTTCACTTCAGTCCCCGTTTGGGCGATCGTAATAACTCACGCATGCAGTGTCTTCGGTTACTTCACCGTTGTCAATCAGCTCCCAACGTACATGAAATATATTCTCGATTTCAACATAAAAGAGGTGACTCCAGTCCCATAAATCCTCCAAAGGCCCATCAACAACAACAACATCATTGATTTATTCATTAATTTCAGAACGGTCTCTTGTCATCTCTTCCCTACATCGGCAAATACGTTTTTGCATTAGCAACATCGGCAGTCGCTGACTACCTCCGCAGTACCGGTAGCCTCTCAGTGACCGCAATCCGGAAGATATTCACGACATTTGGTGAGTTGTAGCTGTACGTCAATTGAATTTGTAATTTATAGAACAGAAACTCCGATCACCTAGTCACCAAGCAATGATCCAATTAAAATAAATTTGCAATACTATCAACAAGTCTGTGTCCTCAATAGGAATTGAGACAAACGGATGATCAGTTCAATGCAATTTATTATTCATCTCTAATTGCTGATAGACTATGTTTACGACCTCGGTGTCAATTACGCCTTGGATATTCCAGTATTCCTGCATTCCTGCCCTCTTCCTTTTTTCCCCTCAATCCTCAACTTTACAATCTTTCAAATTCAAAAATTCAAATTTTGGATTTTTATATGAGAATCGATTAAACTCGATTAAGCATTTAAACAAATATTTAATCCATTCAGAAGCAAATTACTAATTCATCCATAACACTGGTTGTTTTCATTTGCAAATAAAATGCAGCAATTCTTTTTTTTTAACGTAGCCGTCATCATCCCCGGAATATTTATGATCCTACAAGCGCACTACGGCTGTAATCGCACATTTTCCGTCGCTATTTTTACGATCGCACTGACTATCAACGGAGGAGTAACTGCCGGATATCTGGGCAATGGTCTCGACATTGCACCCAATTTTTCTGGCACAATATTCGGATTAGCCAACACCTTGAGCTCATTGGGTGGATATCTGAGCAGTCTCATGGTGGGATCATTAACGTATAAAAATCAAACATATCGTCAGTGGACCTATGTCTTCTGGATTTTAGCTGTTACTTATATCACCGGAGCATTGGTTTTTGCCTTCTTCGGGACTGGAGAATTGCAAAAGTGGAATAACCCGGAGGATGTGGCAACAAAAAAGACTGATGATGATGGAAATGACGACATTGAGGAAGCTATTCCTTTGAAAAAGGTCACACCCCCGTGATCTCCTCATTTCCATCAATAGTTCCACTGTATTTTTGTTTAGATCATAACTTAATGTAAATAATAAGTGTTTTTATAATTTAAAAAATCCTAATAAACGTCTTGCACAGTAAGAAATCATGATACGGCTTTTTTAATTCCCTTTCCCGAAGAACCTTCGTATTATCCTTAATAAAAAAAAAACAGGACTCACCGGCGTTGGGTGAAAAATAACTGTTTGCTATTTTCACCTGTTCAATCACCGGCTCCTTGCAATCACCTTCAATAAATCCTCATGTATAATCCAAACACCACACACACAACACCAATTCACTAATTGAACTCAATATCTGAATCCTCTTTTCCTTCATGTTCACTCAAAAAATAGCACCAGAATGAATTATAATATCAACAATTGTTCCGAACTTGAAAACACCACTTTCGTAAACAAACGCACATCACAAAGGAATCGTGAAAATTAAGAGGAACGGAACGTATATTCCCGTAAAATATGAAAATGGGAATAATAGCACACCTTTGTCGTCAGAAATTCAACACATGAAAGATCACAACAAATTATTAATGGTTTTGGTGAAAATCGACCGACGAAGGAGAAAAACAAATGATTGTCACCGGTCCTTCTTGGAACTCGAATGCCTGATGGGACTTGGGTGTGTTGTCTCGTTTTTCCTCGAAATGTTCCGAAAAAACGGTCGAACTATCTACACTATTGATGGATTTGATTAAGTTTCAGTAATAAATTAATTGTTAGGTATTCACTGTTGAAATAAACTTCACACCGATAGATTTTGAATCTCTTTGTCAACAACACCGACGCGGAATCACAGCTCGACTGACGCGTGCGCAGACCGACCACTCGAGATGGCGCCCGCAGATATCGCGCCATCTTTGATATTTTGAAGACATTACTGTGTTTATATGCATGACACGGCTGCGTGCAATTAACCCCTCCCCAGTGTTAATAACATTTTAGGTAAAAAACGAAGGAATTAATGAACTATAATTCTTCTAAATAAGTGATTCAATGGCGTCTTCTAAGCAGAACCCGAAAAAATTCAAGTGGACGTTGGATTTCGCCCACAGGTACGTCCAGAAATTTCGGAGTATCGGTGATTAGATTCCGGTGATGTCAATGAGTCGAATAAATTCCAAGCTTATAATTTGACAATGATTTTTATTAGGAACAAACAGGACCGATACGTCGAATGTCCGAGTCCTCCAGGGTACGCTCCAGCAGTTAGTCTGATTCATAATATCGATCACCTGAGGGAGAACGACTCCAATCATTTGATAATTAAAAAATCCTGGGATCTGGCCCTAGGACCCCTTAAACAGGTGCCCATGAATCTTTTCATCATGTTTATGGCTGGCAACTCCATATCAATATTCCCGATTATGATGGTAGGAATGCTCATCATCAGACCTGTGAAGGCGCTATTTACTCTTCAACAAAGTGCGTACACATCCCAAATTTTTCTCCCAATTTCAACTGAAATCGAAATGAACAAATTTTATTGAATTCGTATATTTTCAGCATTCAAAGTGATCGAGGGAACCCACGCATTTGGCCAGAAATTTGTATTTTTCCTAGGTCAACTAGTGAATATCGCCCTAGCCCTGTACAAATGCCAATCAATGGGTCTTTTACCCACTCACGCATCAGATTGGCTCGCCTTCGTGGAGCCCCAAGCAAGGCTCGAGTACTCAGGCGGTGGTCTCATATTCTCATAATTTTATCTCTCCAATTTTCTCTGTTTCACAAACGCATTCAGTACCAAAAGGTAAAATGAGATGAACCCATAATTAATAAAAATATTGAATTCGCCTCATTTCCCTTGATCACTTGGCTACTGAATTCCACCACCAAATCAACGTATAAATTTGTTCATCGATCCCGGCAAGATTATATTTCACAAAAAATACAAAACAATAAACATTGTTATTACTCAATTCTTATGTACAATTGTCATTCTCATTTAATCCTTCAGCTATTAGATACTTTTATTTATTTATTTTTTCCTGTGGTCGTCGGCGAATTCTTTCAATCTATCTAGTATTTTCGAGGGTTCGTCCACCCGAGGAATCTGAAAAATATGAAATCATCAAATTCCCTGAAGATTATAAATGAAATTCTACAGTTCAATGAAATATCCATTTATATATATCAACAGATTTTTTGTCCTTTTTAAAATTTAATGAGCAATAAAAAATGCATCAACACTTACTTCATAGTTTTGGCTGATGTATATGCCCGCATAAATGCCGATGCCCAAGGTTAACTGTAAAATAAATCGATTAAACTCTAGAAAACCCTGAGATAGAAACCTACTTACCAGAAACTTGATCATCTCGACGTATTGAAAAGCTAGTTTAATTTAAAAAACCGTGCCCTGGTGCCCGTTGAAGGGAATACGAAAAAATATCAGAGAGAATATTCCAGGGCTGTTTGACGTTGCATCTCATCAGGTGCGGCAGTGCGCAAAAATGTCCGAGGTAAAGTCCACTTTCCATGAAAAGAGAATTTTCGGTGCATGACACAGTGACGTCAAGATGGCTTGTTGCTTGGCGGCAAGACATTTGTGATCGATAAACGCGTGGTTGATACCAAGAGCTTGCCGTAATTTTCCACGAGTAATTTTCCCAGGACCGAAAAAGCCCCCCTCCCCTGACATCGAGGAAATCGATTAAAAATCCACGAGAACTTGGGAGAAATCGTGGAAAGAGGAAAAAAGCCCCACCTAAATGTTGAGGAAAAAAAATCAACGTCCCGTTTAACGTGAGTTTATTATCATTATTACCGAGAACTTGAGAGACTTGGAAAAGTTCTTTGCAACGAATTTTTCCACTTGCAATGTGACTGGGTGCTTTTGACAGAAGAATAACAGCATCAGAGAGATGCTATTTGTGTTAAAAATATGACAAATTGAGTTCCTATTACGCAGTAGGATGGCTAGTATGGTTTCAGTAGTCATTAGTGTAGTTGTAGCATACATGTGAACTGCAGGGAATTACCGTTTTGTAGTTGCGTTAATAAACACACACACTAGTATTGTTTCTCCGGGGTAACAGTGTTTATCGAGTCGTGGATGAAACCTTACGTATGTACCCATATCGCTTCCCCAACAGCGACTTTACTGAACATCTAAATCACTCGTATTCATAATTCCACAGTAAATACGTCACCTGGCTTTCACCATTGACTCAAATATCTGGAGATATTTCATGCTCTGGTAGAGTTTAATCTCATGGAATTTGATTACATCACTCCATGTTTGAAGATTAAACATTAATAACTTGTGGATTTTATTTAATTCATAAATCTACATGTGTCATTACAGTTGTATTACGAAACATATAATTGAAAACGAAAAAAGGTACAGATGCCATACATTCTGGTACGTGGTAACCTTGCGTCCTACAGTCACAGGTATCCCTGGAGAGTACTCGTTTCTGGTCTAAAAGGTACCATTTCATTCACTCTGCACTTCTCATTGTCGTTTTTACCACCTCTTTCATTTTATTTATTTTTGAAATTTCTTTTTTTTTTTCGGTTTTTTTATTAGTCTAGTTTGTAGTCGCACTCGTTGCTGTCAAAGTTGTCTCGGTGATTATCATGAGAAAGCTGTCGCATTTGACAAGTAACCAGTAGTGGAGGGATCATGAGTAATTGTGAGGTGAAATTCCCCGGTAAAATGTCCTGTTGGATGTTCCTATGGAACTACTCGGTGCTGAGATTATTCGAGGATTTTTAAGTGATGGAAAATAGACTCTTGCCCCTTCACTACTCATATAAAATATCTTCAATTAATGTTTTACGACTCTATGATGACTTTGAATTTTATTTTAGCATCGGACATTGAGCAATTGACTCGTTTTGCCTCTGGTGGATACTGCGACGACTCGACAATAGTTTACCTCCAACATCCCTGTGTAATCTTAACGGCACTTGAGGTACTTGGATACAAGGTTGTTGCCTCATCCAGCACAAGTGTTAAACAGGATTATAATGAGTACATGTGGACTATGAGAAAAGATTTCTCCGAGCCTGAGCCAGAGCCCATTGTTAAACCAGGTACGTCTACCATAAAGATTATTGAATTTAATCAACAGTTTTTTAAAAAAGAGGTACACTATTTTTTATGATTTTAGAAAAATTGGCCTTGTCAAAATTTTAACAGTGCAATAACTGCCGTATTAGATCTATTTCATTGTTGAACTTGTTGACAATTATCAACTTACCATAAGATCCCAATTAAGGTAATTAACGTGACACTGAAAAAAAAAAAATTTGAAAGACACGCTTTATGTTATTCGTCTGTGATAGTATCCACGTTCAAATGAATTTAATAAGTTAACCTCATTAGCCGTAATTGTCTCGATTTTAAAAACAGTACGAGTGGTGAATATTTCATTGTAGTACCCATTGAAAACTGTCTAAGTGTGGAGATAACAAAAAATCCAGAAAAGGAAGAACCTCAGCCCCACTAACAAGAAAGCTTATCCAATACATAATCTACCCAAAAAGAGAAGACAAATCAAAATGGTGAAGAAGAGAGGAGTAGTATGGAATTACTACAACAAAAAAGTTGATGGAACAACGGTGACAGCATTCTGCAAATTCTGTCATCGTTCCTACATTCAAAATGCAACAAGAATGGAGAAGCATCTGGCGAGGTGTGATAAGGCATCGCCGGACGTTAAGAATTTGTTCTTACGCGTCTCCACGAGCAAAAGAGTCAACAGAGCGCGTCTTCTGGGTGCTAAGCTGCCAGAGGGTTGGACAAAGCGTAACGAAGAGATTGGACAGTTGGATGTCAGTGCATTGACTGAAGCAGACCTCGAGGATATCGACGAGTGGAATAGACAGAAGCAGATGCAGGAGGATGATCCTGCCCAGAATATGACATTTAGTGAGGATGGGGATGACGATGGTGGGTGGGATGGGAGACACAATGACATTCATGGGATTAATCATCAGGGTCAGGCCAGGAGCACAGATCCTCTGGTTCAGATCCATACTGGTATGTTTGCTTTCGGTAATATTCCCTTGTTGATTTTCTCAATAGCGCCATTTTTGATGGATAAACATTTTAACGAAGACACTCAATATTTTAAAAATCAACATTCTTTCCTTTATCTAAGCAATACTCAAAAGGAGTGAAATTTCGCCCTTCGCTACTCAATGATTTTTGGAATTTGAATAAAATAAATGAATGGGAATAAAATGTTATCCATTCAAATTTTTATCCATTTCTTTGTGTATGTCTTTTTTTTTCGTACTCTTGAAGGGGAAAAAATGACTGAATTATTTTTAGTTGCTGTTGACGATCGGAAAATGCCGATGCGAAAATCTGAATCAGATCACATGAATCGCTCCCACACAGCCACATCTGTATCCAATCTAGAGCCACATTTAAATCAATCGGGTGTCCACTCACCCCTGCAAACGAAAATCCTCCAGGAGCAGTTACTCGAGAAAAGGGCCCAACGGAAAATAGCAGAACTGGAGTTGCGACGTAAAGCCCTGGAGTTAGAACGATATCAGTGGGAATACGAGAGAGATAAAGCGAGGAGTGAAGAGACATGGGCACATGAGTCACGTATGATGCAGTTGAAAGAGGAACGTGAGCAGAGACTCATGGCAGAGAGTTCCTACGACATAAAACAATAATTTCCACTATTTTAATACTTTCCATTCATTTTTTTATTATTTTAAATATCATGACATGTTAAAGCCCCCAAGCGAGAATAAAGCGTTTCTTTCATGCAATTACTCTTCCAACAGTTTCCATTGTAAAATAATAATCGCGTTAGAGAGAATAAATACGTTGAATAAATCGACGTGAGAAATTTTAAACATTTAAATATTGACTTTTGTTTTCTTTTAGAACTAAAAGACAACGGGATCTAAATTAAGAAAACAAAAACCATCGTATTGAATAATAATAGCTGAAATATTTCAAAAGGAAGTTTGTGATAATCGTAAAGATGTCGGAAAAATTGAATAGCCTTATTGGGAACGAGAATTTTTATTATATCGCTGTGAAAGCATCGCCATTTGCAACAGACGCCGCTGTCTTTGGATTAACACACGATGAAATAGTGGCACTGGTCAAACGATTTCCGAACTCAGGTGCTGACGTCGTCAATGGCGTTATGATAAAAGGTTCAATAAAATAATCAATTTTCTTAACTGGATTCAGCTGTCATCTGCCCTAGTTACCGTTCACTCGATGTTTCATTCGTTTTTAAATCACAGACGAGGGTGAGGTAAACTGATTTTTTATCACCTGATTAAAAATCTTTACCTCCCTTTCACTCCAACTACAAAATTCACTATTGTGCTTTGCTTGTTCTGGTGGTGGCTTTTATCTGCACAATATCCATTTATTTATTAGTTATCATTTCTCTGAATAATAAATACGCTATTTCAATGATCAGTCATCACTGTGAGATCGTATTACACCGTTTAGCTGCGCTATATCACTATTATTGCTGACGATCATTTCTCGTTACAAAAACAAGAGCAAAGAAAAAAAACGCAATCCTTTCGTTTCAGGAGCACCGATAGCCGTTATAAATGCTCTGGCTGAGCTCGGCTATCGTATTGTTTCCAGCACTGGAGAGGCAGAAATACTGTGGACATTACAGAGAGAAATTTAAAAACCGGAAACAATGGGAATTACGTTTTTTTATTATTCCCCCATCTCCCCATCTGCCCCCCCCCCTGTAATCCAACGATTGCACTCTATATGTTTGTCGATGCACCACTGAATTTAATACGGATAATCATGATGTGATCGAGAATTATTGTATTGTAACGTCATTCCGATAGATATATTTTTTTATCCTCATTTTATAATTTTTTTTTCTCTATAAAAATCGCTGATTTTATTACCCCATTGTCATCTTTTTAGAATAGAGAGAATGAACATGATTGAAGTGTCAATTATGTATTACTCCATTGGAAACTGAATATTGTGGGATCAAAGAGACAAACTAAACTTGTATTTTGAATTTGTACCGAGTTTTTGTAACAACTTGAAGATTAGAAATTCACTACATGATCGTTAGAAATTTTAATTGATTCGTTAATAAAGGGAACAGAAAGTGTAACAAGTGCAGCTAATGATATTTAGAGATAAATATGGCAGTGAGAACAAGTTGGCTATTTTGTGTGATGAGAATAGCCTTTTTATTGTCTATTAATCCCCATCAGAGCAATAATATCGAATAAATATAAGAAAATGACAGTTTATGATAATCTTACATGATCTGTGAAGTTATTGGCGGCCTAAGAAAATTAAATAGGAAATGTATAATTGAGATACTTTTTTCCATCGACTGTGAAAACTGTTTGATTATTTCAAGTACTAAATGAGATGAATAAACGTATTCTAAATGATAAGTGAAATGACACGTGAGGGCTGATGTTGGTTTTTCCTTTTCAATGAGAAAGAGTTTGAAGGGGTGGCCTGGATAGTGGAAAAAACAGAAAACTCATAAATTTCATCCGGCAATAAAGTAAAATGGAGCATCAAGGACACGACCACGATGGATGCTGTAAATCTTCGGGTTCGAGTGTCTGCCAGAGTCTTCCAGAGATGGATTTCCAGAGGGGAATATGGCATGCAGGTAATTCATTTAAATTCAGTAGCCGAGTGATAAAGAAGTCAGCCGAACTTGACTTGTTTTTTTTTACGAACGTTCAAATTGATTCATTCGATGTTTGAAATATATCTAATAAAATACGAAAATTGAAATTTCTGGTGTGAATTGATGTTAGTTAATTGATGAAGATGTTAATTATATTTTCAATATCTTTCAGCACTGAGAAAAACAAAATCTATCGTGATAAACTCGAATTACGTGACTCACCCACAAGCGTAGATAACTGCTACCGAGAATATTTGTAGATTATTTAAGAGTTGTGATAAATAAGAATTTCCACAGAATCATTTTTCTTTATTTATGTTATCGAGTTATTATTAGTTTTGTTGATTAATTCCGAGGGGATCTCGACAAATATTTTCCAAAAAATCGTATTCAGAGTGATCGATGCGAATGATTTTCGTTACCAATTTCTTGAATAATATCATTAAGACTGCGGTGCAGCAGCCCCCTGTCAATGGTTTAATTCTTCTATTGAATTCTCTGTCCAGCTCAAACGGACGACATGAGCCGCGTGGTGGAACTTCTTCAGAAAGGTACATCCCCGGCCGAGGAGGACTCTGCGGGCTACACTGCCCTGCACTACGCCGCACGATCAGGAAACTTCCAAGTCTGCAAAATACTTCTAGATTACGGAGCCAACGTGAATACAATGACCCGTTGCGGTAGGGCAACAGCCCTTCACCGAGCAGCGACTCAGGGAAATGACGAAATAATTCAACTATTCCTCAATTTCCGAGCTGACGTGAATATCCAGGACTCGGACGGTTACACTCCCCTTCATCGAGCTGCCTTATCTGGTTCGACCTCCACCTGGGAGCTCCTCGCACCTCGAACAAATCAGGATCTTGTTGACAACAAGGGAAGAACTGCGCTTGATCTCCTCAGGAAAAACTCAAGTTAACTGGTAAAATGTTTCTACCACAAAAACCAAATTTTCAAATATTAAATTACTCATAATAAAAAATATATATTGAACTCAAAATAAACAGCTGACTCAAACCTCTATTTTATTCACCACGCTTCAATAATCTTTTTAAAGAATCCACTATTGGTTTCGGTTCTGTTGGTATACTTTCAGTTTCAGGCGGTACCGATGGGATTTCTATCGGTAGTAAACAAACCCCGGAAACTTGTAAACACAAAGCAATTGTTTTTGGCACCGGCTGATTTCGACTTCAAAACAAAATAGTATATTAGAATGCAAGTACTAAATAGTATATTCCGTGAGTAAAGAGTGAGAGGGCGAGAATGCGAGAATGCGAGAATTACAATTGCATTTATTATAAAATATTTCACCATCGACTCGAGCAGAAAAGTGTTGTTTTATTTACCTCCATTATTTAAATATAATTCTGCATAGAGGCAGAATACGCTTTGTTTTTAAAATGAATCCCTGAAGAAATGGAGCGCAAAAAAATGGATCCATGTTAAACTTTTCCTATGTTCCATTAAATTGGGTGAGTTTTAACAGGTTTTGGATGTGTAGGCTATTTTTTCCTGGTGTATTTCTTGTATTTGAATCGTGTTGTTTAGAGGATTTGTATTGAAATGCGCGAATTTCCACTTGAGCCGAAGAACTCCCAACTTGAAAGAAACCGCTCTTTAAAGCCGATCACAAGATGGCGCGCCGTGGAATGGAGCGCGTGTGACCTCCCGAGCGAAGCACATGGCCACACACACATGAAGAAGAGGAGGGGGTGGCTCTCAACAAAGTTCTCCAAAGTTCAAAGCCGAGCCTGCATACGGTATCCACCCGGCTATATCGAGTTGTACTTGATATTGAATCGAGCTCGGGCAACCTCGGTGGTACATCGTCCATTCTCGAGCACCATCGCCGGCCATCGGAGGGACTCGCGCCCCATCCCCAGGTGTACGCAAACCGTAATAACCCCCTCGTCGTGATTTTTCACTGTTAACCGAGGACGATAAGCCCCTGGCGCCACCTCTCGCAGCCATTCCCTCGAGCGTGCGTTGTGATATTTTACTTGTGGTTCGTTGCGTTGATCAGTTTGTTTCGTGTAGACCCCACGAGTTGTTCGCACTCGTTTCAACGATTGCCGGGGGGGCCCCATTGTCGAAACTCACCGAAAAATACGTACTAAAAAACTCGAGCTACTCCCAAAACCAATGATCAATCTCATCTCCACAGTTATGTATCCGTTAAAAGTGTTTATTCAGTGGTATTAAGTTTAACAGTGGATTTTCGTGGATTCCGTTGGTTGGATCAGTGTTTTTTTTTTCTTTCTTTTTTTTCTCTTTTTTTTTTCTTTTTGGGAACAATAGGAATTGAAAGATCGGTTGGGGACGAATGTTGGTGGCTCGAGGGTGGTGGCGCAGTTTGTGAGAATTGAGGGGATTCGGGACATTTTGAGAGTGAAAAAAATACCAAGTGACAATCGCCCGAGAAATGTAACCGTGTCGTGACGTCACACGGCTAATCAAGTGCACACACGTACACTGGAGCACACAGGAAGGAGGCGAGAGACTGCGCGCGCGCGCACTCCAACACACACCACCGAGGTATTTCATTTCGTGTGGATACACTTATACGCGGTGCTATCACGTATACACACATAACACGTACGCATTTTGTGCCGCGAAGAGAAGGAGCAAGAGAGTAGAAGTAAATTGGTGGAAAACGGCTAGAAGTCGGGGCCAATCTGTGCACGTGAGGCTCTAACTAAATCTCTGTTATTTTCCATTTATTTTTTTCATAATTTTTCCATAATACGTCCACGATTTCTTCCATGATTTTTCTCCAATCTCTACATGTTCTTTTCATATTTCTCATATTTTCCACGTTTTCCATGTTTTCCATGTTTTTTCCATGGTCTTTTTTCCATGTGTTTTACGTTTATTCTCGGATCATTCTCGGTTCATTTTCATGTAGTTGAGTGAGTTGTTTGTTTTTCACTGGGAGGGAGAAGGAGAATGCGTGAGAGATGACGAAAGTGTAGCCATTTGGATTAATCGTTGTTACTTCATTCTATTGATTTTGTGGATGTATGGGGATTATTTTTGGGGGGGCGGGATTTTGAAGCGGTGAGCGTGGTTTCGACTTGAAATTTATTGGAGAATTGTTGGATGTTTTGTGGTGTTGAGGTTTGGGAGTTGGTGTTGTCCCTGATGCGAAAGAGTTGAGGCCTAAATCATCTCGTGTGTGTGGCGCCCCGCTGTGTTTTTCGATGGGAAACTGTCCATAACCTACGCAAACCGGCGAAAAGAAATGAATTTTTGCGCTATGACAACTAGTGAGATCGGTGAGATTGCTCCTCCGTCGAGTCTAATTTTTGGTCGTCATGTGATAATAATTCACGTTCGGGGCATTATTGTGCACCCTCTTCACACCTCGGGAGACAGAACCCAGTGATCCGGCGTGAAGATTATTTCGGGGAATTTATTACTGTAGATATGTGCCGAGATGGAAGTTTTTCAGTAATTGTGCGTATTTATCGTGGAAATTTGGGGACGTGAGGTGAAATTTTCAAGTGGACATTCTTCAATATTTCGACGACTCCTGCTAACTCGTTATCTTCCCCCACTTCGCTCTTAAATAATGGCGACGATAATCACCAATTATTACCATTTTTCGTAATTTTTCAAAGGCACAGAACATTTTTTACTCAAATCAAATTTTATGTCAATAGTGACTCCGAGGGGCGATTAATAGTAGAATCACTTCAACGGTAAAATCACCCGTTTTAGCCGCTTGTTTACACTTTATCATAGATTAGATAAACTCCAAAATTGTTCGTTCTATCGCATTTTGTTGTGAAACATGAATTATTTTGAAGAATACCACAATCTCGATTTATCGAGGATGAAATATATGATAATTTTTGGATAGTATCGTTAGAATGGAATTTAATCTAATATTGAAATACAATGTTTGTGATATTTTCAGAATTGATAGGATCTACAGAGAATTATTCTATCCAAATGGGACCACGAGAGTTGCGCCTTTCAGGGCTAATCCATGAGTTAGACAGTTGTTCAACAGTGGATACCCCAAAGTGACTGAATCACCTTCCCCCATCCAGTGGATCAATTCATCACCACCAAAATCCCATTAAATCCGATATTTTAGCACTGGACAAGTGGATTACCTTCGCCACCACTGGAGCATCAATTAGACGTGGAGATCACGTGAGAGAACCGCCACCGCTGCCTTACACACCAAAATGATACAGTAAACAATCAGATTACTGAGGATATTCCATTATTGTGGCAGCGATTAGGTTTTAAAGGATATACCGAAGGTGGTGGTGGTGGGGGTTGTACGTCAGAGTGTGCGACAAGATTATAAAAACAAAAAAACTCGAGTCTTCCTCTTATTCCGAGGATTGTGAAGCTCAGAGAGTATAAACAGCTGTTCAGTGATAAATATATTCGTGCAAAAGTGGAAAACCAAGTAATTCGCCATATTAATTCATTTATCGCGAGTAATTAATGGTTTCGGTGATTTATCTCGTTGTGATGCCAGTTGATTAGCGGCTGTGATAAATACCAAGTGAATTGTGAGGTATTAATATTAATTCGGGGATAAAAAAATTGAGTCTCGGAGTATGTGAATGTGCCAAGGATTGTTTACGTGGAAAAACTCTTCGTTTTGTGATTTATCTTTAGTTTAACGGTTTATTGGATTTTGGTTTTTGGTCGTGAAAGGTGTGGATTCAGTAGCAAGTTGGCCCGTTTATTTTTTATACTGTGGTGCTGATTTTTTTTAAAAACGGAGCATTCCCGGAAATTTCATACTACGTCCACCCCCAATGAAAGCAGGACGCACATGTCAGTTTCTGCCGCTGAAAATGCAGGGTGAGTGTTTACAGTGAAATTTTTTATTTTATCCAGAAGAGGTAAAAGTGAGGTACACGTATTGTCTAGTCGAATCCTCGAGAAAAATCTCGCAATTGAAACAAGATAACGATATTTTTCAAGACCTTTGTGGAAAGCAATGAGAACCGGAAGAATGTTTTTTTTTTTATAAAAATATTTCCATCTCATTTATATTTCGAGATATTGAAAAATTTATTGGCCAAATTCACGTGCTATCTTTTGCCTCTTTACTACTGAATTCCTATTCTTGACTTTTGTCCTGGTGATTTCTGCTGGTCAAATATTAACGCCGTAGAGAGAGTTGAGTTTGAAGGTGAAATAGATATAGGACCTTGGCCTGGATATGAATTTTGTGTTTGATGGTTTTTTTTTTTACTCTGGAATAGAAGCAGTCGACAATTTTTGAATCACAGAAATTAATGATTCACTATATTCGCGGCTCGACTTATCTATTCATGACTCAATTGGGATTTGAAGGGACTTGCCGATCGTTCCTCCCAACCATTAAATTTGTTTATTAAATAATAACTGTGTTGCTAGGTGATAAAGTGAGACTTTTATCTCAATCATAATTGATTGAAAAATAAAACATCAAAAGACCTTTGTTGTCGGAAATTTAATGAGCTACAAAAAAGCGTCTTTCGCGTCCAACCGATCGATCGATATTTTATTATTTTTTCAAATTTTAAATTCAGCATGCATCATGTCACCACTTGACTACTGATTTTCATTGAGGATAAAAAGGCAAAAGCACTTGGCTTTCCTTAAAAATTAAGTTTTTGTTCTTGGACTGGTTTCAGTAACAAAGAATACATTAAATATATCTGTAGTCATTTTTTTTTACTCCTATCATTTAACGCGTAACCGCAAGTATGGCATTTAGAGTGCTGACAAAGTTTGCTTTGATAGCTGTTTTTTTACATTTTTCCAACGCACGAATATTCACCATTTGTTTTCATTTCTATTTTTTGTTGCTGCCGTGTGACTTCAGTAAAAATGAGAATGGTGGGGAAAAAAATGGTGGTTGACGAAAAAATAACAAAGCGATGATGAACGAAGGAAAGTGTAGATTAGCAATAGCCAATGACTGACGGAATTTTGCGCGGGGCAGGAGAATATTTCGTCGCCCGCGGTGTTGCCGCGGTTATATATATACGTAAAGTCTAAAAAGTTACGAGTAAATGGTTGGGGATTCGTAAGAAAAAGAAAGACAAACCGTTCACAGAAAAGTTGGAACAACGCAGCATAAGACTTGACTTTGCTATCCGTCTCAAACGATTCTGTAGCTTTGAACGTTGGAAAAATAGCTGTTGCCTTGACTTTCTTTACCGAGATACCGCCCTGACCGCGTTCCATCTACCATCAACTATTGAACCAAAAAATTATCAGTCCAATTATTAACAATAAATTCACACTGAAAATCCTGTCGAAATCGCGTCATTTATTATTGATAAATCGCGGCTAAAGTTGCAGGGTTACAGATTTATTGAAATCCCCATTACAATGTTATCTGAATTTTTTATTAAATCAACTTCTATTATTCATCTCCATTTCAATTCAAGACAGTTACTAAATTTCTTTGTTTAATTTGGAATTCAAGAAAATTGGCGTTTTCATGGAAATGGTCAGTGATTTTTAATGGAAACTGGAATTTTCAGACTTATCGGAAGAATTCTACATTTAATACTATTGAATTTTTTATAGACTGAGAATTCAAATTCAGGGCAATTATTGTATGAATTGTGCTCCTGAAAACAGAGAATTATTTGAATATTCATGAAATTAACGGATAATTCAATTAAAAATCGGCCAGAAATTTCATGTCTCTTTGTTGTTAAAAATTCCAGTTATCATTTTCCAGCAGTCTAATGATTAATTAAAAGAACACTGGAATTTTCTTCATTTTTTAATTGATACTTAAATCATTTGTTAGAAGAAAGGAGTTTTAGTTGATATCAATATTTCCATTCCATTTATTATTTCTCAACACGATACGCAAATACTTCTTGAAAATCAAAAAATCAAAGCAATTGCTCTGGAATTCACTTTAAATTGACGTTCGGTATGACTTTAATGACTGGGAAAACCGGAATTTCTTACATTATCAGGGCTGATAACTCTCTAGCTCTAATGTACTCTTCACTTAATTCGTCTAGCCATTTAAGCTTTAGAAGTTTCTGAGCTGAAAACTTACTACGAAAAATAACCCGGGGAAGTAGGAGAAATTTTAACGAGAAAGAGGTGATGTCCCCGGTCCTCAATTAACTGAAGAGTTTATATAATTATTCTCACTTGTGTGTGGCAATATCCGAAAGCAAAATATCCTTACCCATCCGACATTTTATGATTCTTCGGCAATATATCTCGCTGCTGATGATTCCATTCTTACTCAACTCAAGTTCCGTATTCATAAATTATTAAATTTAAAAGCCATTGTTTTGTAATTTTCAACTCCGGACACGACTTACAAAGGACTTACTTCAGAAATAAATTGAATGAGTAAAAAGGCTCGTGATAATTGCATCTGTAATCGATATTTAACCAGAGAAATCGGCAATAAAAATGAATAATTCTAAATAATAAAATTGACCGTGGATATATTTCAATAGATAAAAATGGTAAACGATGTGATGAAAGAATTCTGAAATGGTCAGTGGGCACGGGTAAGCTTAAACCGGAAACATTTCTATATAAATTTTCGCCAACGTCGGCACAAACGTGTGAAGTTTCAGCGTAATGAATCACGATCGGATTCAAGTGTCGAGTCAACTCTGTAAATTAAACGCGAAGTGTAGAGGTGATAATAAGTGTTGGCCAAGAAAACTATCGGTAAGTTTGGTGTGGCTGATGCGTGAAAGGCCCGATGTTTCAAGTAGTTAACTAGCTGAGGTATTGAGAGTTGTGAATGTTAGTGGTGATGAGTATCCACAAGTGGAAGAGGGACAATACTTTGAGTGTTACCTAGAGATCAGTGCGTAACACTGTTACACACACTCATTATACGCACCTGCATAACTCAATGGCAACAACTACGTAACGAAACAATAAAATTCATACAGCCACTGAACTATCAATTATTTATCACTAAACGTTCAATTTATGAGAGAAAAATTCTCTATTGACACGAGTTACGTCATTTTATTCGAGTATTGCCTTGCGAATTCAGATTGAGATTGTTATCTCTATTATCGAACCCTAGGTGCTCTGAAATATTGGACACTGATCAGACCAGAATGGTATAATTTCTCCTCCGAGTTGTTATGTCATCCTGTTAAATTTCATTTATCACCAAGTGCCGGAATTATCAGGTCATAATAGCTCATGGGATGGTTATGATCTTGATTCATGACTTTTATCCCTCTCCAGTCGCTTCTCTCTAAATTGGCTCACTGGGAGAATTCTCTTATCACATTTAAGAAGATTATTTTCTCGGACAAAATAACTCTCCAAATTAAAAGTAAAAAACATGAGATTTTTTTACAGTCGCATGTAAAGAAAACCGAACATTGAGAAATCAACTCTAATAAATACCCAAACACGGTGCCCCAATCTTTTTTCCACAACAGTCGTTTCCATCCCCTGTCTCTCGAAATTTAATTAATTGTTCCACTATCGGGGTGATTGATATCGCGGTCGTGATAAGGATATTGACAAAATTATGCAGTTAATTAGATCAGTGATGCGGTTCGTTAAAATAATTTTTCTGCCTCAACAATGAAATTATCGACACATATCCAACAGTGTTTTCACTCAATTGATAAATTCCTCAAAAAAAGGGCTTAATAATTATTGTACTCGTGCGTCACGCGTCTCATTACACCGAGAGATAATTGGAGGAGGTTAAGAAATAGTAGAAATGATAGAATAAGAGGAGGATATTGAAAGCAATACCCGGTTGATTGGCGAATTGGCAGTTTATCGTGAAAATTGGTTTTCTGTGCATGCGTGTATATAAGAGCAGATGTTACGCGTGGCCGAGCCCAATTGTTGGCAGGCTGGGGCGGACGTACATATAGGACGGATACATATGTGCATGTACAACCTAGAGAGCAGGCGTGGTACCTTTTACCGACCTTGACCTCCGTCCTCGGCTGACGCTCGTTCTTCGTAGACCGGTCGATATGCGGTCCATGAGTTGCCCCTTTCCTCCTCAGGGTATCACCAACCCCCTCCGATAAAATCCACCCCATCCTCCCCATCCTCCCCATCCTTCCCATCCTCCCCATCCTCCCCATCCTCCCCATCCTCCCCATCCTCCCCCTCCTCCCCCAAATATCCTCAATCTACGTGCGCCGCCGTCAGACCCTCTCTCTTTTTTCCTCACTACGTTGTATCGATTTCGTACTAAAACACACCCCCAAATTTCCTCGCCACTTGTTTTCGTGTTTTTTTTATTTTTTTTTTATCTTTGTTTTCTCACCACCCACATGAGCATTTCTCCCTGAGAACAAAACAATTACCTATTTCCATTCACTTTTGTACAACAAACTTTTCGGGAGCTGCTGGACATTCACCTTTTTTGTTTTCATCCCTCTGTATTTAAAAAATCTAAGCAAATCAGGTGTTTCAGGTTTTATGCCCGAATCATTGATAAGATAGTCTTTTTTTCCAGTTGATTAAAAATTCTCTGCCCTCTTTTTAAGCCAAAATTGAAATTTTTTGAGTTTTCTGATAAATTTTTGAGCGGATTGACCCGATAGAATATAGTATTTTTAATTTCAATCGTTATTTCATGATCATGACATTTTGGGAGTCATTAAATAATGATAGATTGTGAAAAAAATATATTTTTTGTGTCAATCGTATAAATGGACTTTGGATTTTATCAGAAAATCTTAAATAAAAACCTGTAGTATTGGGTAAGCGGTGGCAGAAGATCGTTACCCAGTACAAATGATGAAAATCGGGTTAATTCAGTGAAAAATTATAAATTCAGAATGGAGAAATAAAATCTCCGATGTTTTTTACTTGTGTTGAGG